CTTGCTATCTTTTTACAAAACTGAATTGACGCACTACTTCTAGCGCTACAACCTTATAAATTCCTGGCTCATAATGACTAAGTAATAAATACGCATTGATTTGACCATTGATCGTGCCTCAGTGGTCTTCATCGATCATCGTTGCCCTATCATGGCTTGACGAAATCTAAGAACCACTATTTGGATAACTGTTTTAGGCTGTAAAAGATTTATTGGCATAAAAGCAGAAGGTAAATCCTTACGGATCTACTTATCCAATTCTCTAACGAGAAAGTTGGGTCACAATGTCCACAAATCAATGTTCCGAACTTATGTCAATCATAGCCTAAGTCAAAATAACCTCACTCCCCAGGAGGAAGTCTTCTCATGGTCTACACTTTCCTCAATGGTGTGACCTTTCGGTATCTAGCGAGCCTTATGCCTCAATAATGACTATCCAAATTACGCATAACTTTATAACAGCTTTGCGTCATAATGGAAAGTCAACCAAATTATAAAAATGGTCAATCTCAAAGACTTTGTCTTAAACTGCGCAACATTAATCCACTTTCTAAAAAACAGGGGACTAGAGCCTTTGGCATTATCCTAGGCTCTTTATCATCTTGCGGAGTAATCATGAATGTTTCCCCCTCAATCACCCAGTGATGACATGGAAAATTTTCACATTCGCTACCACGCAACTTAAGAATGTAGAGTATTTTTCTCTAATGGTGTAATCCATTAGAAGGCACATCGCTCCCACTGTCCCTAGGATATTGAAAATTTCTTTCCATTCTCAACTAGGCTACATAAAGCGCTATGCTTAGAATTCTCTATCTTATAGAGTTCCAAAACTCTATTCACGTCACCTTTACTAAGAAAACTTTATGTGACTTAGTTACACTACCACAAAGCTGCTTACCTATATGCATATGACCCGGAGGGTTTGCATGACCTCATACAATAATGCGCCACACGACCTTTTGTGTTTATAAGACAGCATACAATAATGCGCTATAGAACCCTAGGTCTTAACTTCGCAATCTTATGAGAAGTAGAATAAAGATAAGCTGCTTAACGGTTACAGATCGCCCATTGATGGCTCTCTGCTAACCCATTACTCAAAATAGAGTGTAAAATCTGACATTAAGGGCACTTAGTTAGGGATATAGGCAACAAACTAGCGTAATTCCCAATTGGGAAACATTTTGCGCCATTATCCACCTAACATTAACAATACTTAATTCCTTATCTCTACTACACCATTGTGTTGTTGAGTACTAGGAATAATCAATTTTCTAAGCATCCATCTCTCTTCACAGAGTTTTCTAAAAATAACTCAAATAGATACTCGCCACCTTGGTCAAAACTAAAAGCATGAAAGCTGTTATCTAATTGATCTCAACCTCATATGTGCAATGTCAAAAATCATCTCAAAACTTTTGACTTATGGGAGATCAAATAGTCTTGACTCAGATGCGTATCGTAATCTATAAATGTGTCGAGATTGGGGCTTAGCTATCATACCCTCATACATATCTAGTCACAAATATCATAGTGGACTAAATGCGCCAATACAAATGACCTTCTATGGCTTTCCTACTTACTTGTGCGCAACCATTGCGAATAAAGTTACACATTTACATGAGAGCAGGATGTCATAAGCGAGTGGGCCAGAGAAGGCCTACTCAAATCATCGTGTCATCATCTCATTTAATGTGATTAAGTATAATGAAGCCACCGGTTTATGACCAATGTCATAAACTAATTCCAGTCATCTTAATGTGTGAGTTCTCGAAGACAAGTTTAAAAGGTTTAGGTCCAACTAGGTAATGACTCACGACTAATTCATATTCACTAGATCATAAAAGGATGTCATGGAGATATCAAGTGCGCCTAAGTCACAAATTTAACTAGTAAGTGCTAATCCCCTGCAGCTTCAAGTCAATTTTATTCTCCATACACTTTACTGCATCTAGTTGAAAGATGACGGTACTCTTCTTGCCATCTCTATTTCTCGCTTCATAGTTACTTGCAATTAATTCTACTATCCACTAAAAGGAGAGAATAAGTTATCAATCTATGACAGCTCCTGAAGTAACTTAAGCGCGAATTAGGCTGAAGAGTCTAATTCAATACAATGCTCTCACAGGCGATGCATCAAATTTTTAGAGTCATAACAACCTTGTCGGCCTTGACCTTTTCATTATTATGCTGCAACGTTTGCGCTTAGTGGTAAATGTTAT